GTAAAGTAGAATAAACAATGCTCTCCATTCATCAGAGTTCTCCAGAGAACCAGAACCAGTAGGAAATTAATTATTGAGTTATCTATTTATTTATTATGAAGAATTAGTGCATGTGGTTATGGAAGTTCAGAAGTCCCATGATCTGCCGTCTCCAAGCTGGAGACCCAGGAAAGCCAGTGGTTTAATTCGGTTTGAATCTGAAGGGCTGAGAACCGGGGAGACCAATAGTGTAATTTGCAGTCTGAATGAGATGGGGGGAAAAGGGCAAATTCTTTCTTCCTCTGCTTTTTGTTCTATTCAGACCCTCACTGGATTGGACGATGCCCACCCACATTCGGGGGGACAGTCTACTTTAACCAGCCCACTGATTCAAAGGCTAATCTCATCCAGAAAACCTTCGCAGACACACCCAGAGATAATATTTAATTTAGGCACCCCATGGCCATCAAGTTGACCCAAAATTAATCATCACATATACTTCAATATTAGATCTTCAATAGTAGATTGAATACTTCAATACTTCAATAGTATTCTATACTTCAATACTATACTTCAATAGTACTTCAATATACTTCAATAGTATATACTTCAATAGTAGATCTTTACTTCAATAGTACTTCATATAGTAGATCTTTATAAAGGAATAGCTATCGTAAATGGAATTGTGTACAGAGATGGTTTAAGGGAAGTTCTTTCTTTTCAGCCATAAATCAGGAGCAGTAACTGTTGGAGAGGAAGAGGAGGTAGGAGAGAAGCTGGGATCCCTAACAGGATCACTTCCAGGGTGCACATGGGCTAGGTGCCTATGACAAGGAGAGGTTCAGTCTAAGTCTAGGCTCTGACTGTCAATATGTCAATAAGCAGGTGAACTGGCCTAGAAGAGGAGACAATATGTCCTTGGTGGGTTCAACCAGTTAAAGTTTAAATATTTATGAAGAATGTTAGGTGTTCAAAGAACAGATAGTGCTACCTGTGTTTGTGTGTGTGTCTAACAAAGTGGGTCTTGCGTGATACCAGCCCATATTCACAGAGCGTGAATATTTGCACTGAGGAAGTTTGAAGAAAAATGGTGCCTTCTGAGAGGAGTAAAGTGAGACTGTAAAGATGCATGGGGGACTTCTTTTGAAGTATTCAAATCTCTCTGTATTTTTTTCTTAAATAGTGGAGATGATCGTCTTTTGTTCTTTGTTTTTCCAAGATTTTATTTATTCATTTATTTGAGAGTGAGAAAGAGAGAGAGAGTGGATGTGCGCACATGCCAGCAGGAGGGTGAGTGGGGGGGAGGGCAGAAGGAGAGGGGCAAGCAGACTCTGCACTGAGCTGGGAGCCTACTGAGGGGCTGGATCTCACCACCCTGAGATCACAAGTTGAGCTGAGATCACAACCTGAGCCAAAATCAAGAGTTGGGTGCTCAACCAACTCAGCCACCCAGGCACCCTAGAGACGATCGTATTAAGTAATGAATCACAGTTTGGTATTATGTGAACGCCTGAGTGAAGACGGCATGGGGAAGAAAGGAATGGGATGGTAAAGAGAAGTATAGAAAATCCTTTCCCAATGTAAGTGCAATAATCCCTCCTTTACTTCGTACCCCTTGGCAATGTGACTTTGCCACTCATCAAGCAATGGAGTCTGTTTTCCTTCTCCTTAAATCTGGGCTAATCTTATGACTTGCTTTGACCCAGAGAGTGACACTGTGTGACTTCTGGATTAGAAAGAGGTCTCATAGCTTTCATTTTCTCCTTGGAAGCCAACCATCCATCAAGAAAACATGGGTTAGACTACTGAGTGATAAGAAACCTTCTCGACAGAAAAAAAGCCTCATAAAAGAGAGCTGAGGTGCCCCAGACATGTGACTGAGGCTATGTTGGGTTCTCTAGCTTTAATCAAGCCTTCCCAGCCAAAACCACATGGAAGAGAAATGAGCCTTGCCTAAATTCCTGATCCACAGAATCAAGAGCAGTGAAAAGGTTATGGTTAGAAGCTATGAAGTTTTAGGTGGTTTGTTACATAGCAAGAGATAACTGAAACAGAAGATACTGTTTTCAAAATATGCACTCCTTTGAAATCCATGTGGGGGCAGCAGCATCTTTTTCTTTTCTTTTCTTTTTTTTTAAATTAATCTCTACATCCAACTGGGGCTCGAACCCAGGACCCTGAGATTAAGAACTGCATACTATACCCACTATGCCAGCCAGGTGTCCCTTTTTAAATTTAAAAAAAAAAAAAGATTTTTTTTTTTTTTTAAGTAATCAGGAGGCAGCAGCATCTTAATGTGGGCAATTTGAGTTCAGAATTCCAGGCATAACTCAGGGCAAATCAAACAGAAGCGCATGTCTGGTACACTGACTCCCCTTTCTTTGAAATTCTGGGGTGAAGTAGGGTTGTTATTGTTAAAACTATGTAAGGTAAAAACAAAACAAAACAAAACTATGTAAGGTAGTCCTCACCTGGACACATGGAAAGATGCTTAAATTATCTGCTTTTGGAAGTTTTCATTTTTTTTTAAAGATTTTATTTGTTTATTTGACAGAGAGGGACAGACAGTGAGAAAGGGAATACAAGCAGGGGGAGTGGGAGAGGAAGAAGCAGGCTTCTCACTGAGCAGGGAGCCTGACACGGGGTTCAATCCCAGTACCCTGGGATCATGACCTGAGCTGAAGGCAGACACCCAACGACTGAGCCACTCAGGTACCACAGAAAGTTTTCATTTTGATAGTCTGTAAAGTTTTCACCAGCCTTCTCACATTAGTGTGATTTTAAAAATATATATATTATTTGTGGAAATGAAAACCAGAAATGTAAGTTAAAAATATTCTGGGCTTTGTTATAAAACTATTTTGCTTTTCTTATGAAAATTTTTATTTCATATTATTGGCCTTAATTTGTTACCAATTTATCTTTATTTTAGGAAAATGAATGTCTAAACCTATGCTAATGCTATAGGATCATTCTATCAAGGTGAGCTCCAAATAAATACCGTGTCCCCTCTTTGACATAGTGAGTATATAGGAAAATGTAAGAGTTTACATTATAATTGGGGTATGTGAAAAATTGAACTGATATATAAAAAATTGGAGAAAAACACAAATTAGTAACAATTTTAGAACTATGTTTTATGCTGTGTGGTAAGGGAAACACCTTCAGAAAAGAGACTGGCTTGTTTATTTTTATTTATTTATTTAAAAGATTTTTATTTATTTAATACACAGAGAGAGATATCACAAGTAGGTAGAGCAGCAGGCAGAGAGAGAGGGGGAAGCAGGCTTCTTGCTGAGCAGAGAGCCCAATGCAGGGCTCAATCCCAGGACCCTGAGATCATGACTTGAACTGAAGGGAGAGGCTTAACCCACTGAGCCACCCAGGTGCCCTGAGACTGGCTTGTTTAAAAAGTGCCTCATTGAGACAGACTTGAGCTCAGATGAGAGAGATGGGCTGATTCATTCAGAAAATGTTTCTTGTGGGGCGCCTGGGTGGTTCAGTTGGTTGAGCATCTGCCTTCGCCTCAGGTCATAATCCCAGGCTCCTGTGATTGAGCCCCACATGGAGGAGCCTGCTTCTCCCTCACCCTCTCCCTCTATACCCCCTCAACCCTCTGCACTCATGCTCTATCACTCTCTCTCTCAAATAAATAAATAACTTCTTTTTTTTTTTAAAGATTTTATTTATTTATTTGACAGAGATCACAAGTAGGCAGAGAGGCAGGCAGAGAGAGAGGGGGAAGCAGGCTCCCTGCTGAGCAGAGAGAACCCGATGCGGGGCTCGATCCCAGGACCCTGAGACCATGACCTGAGCCAAAGGCAGAGGCTTTAACCCACTGAGCCACCCAGGTGCCCCAATAACTTCTTTTAATTAAAAAAAAGGAAGAAAGCATTTCTTGGTATCCTTTATATAAAATCTAACACTGTCTGTCTAGGACACTAATCACTTTCTAATGCAGAAATTTTTGGCCTTAGTCTTCATTTTTGACTCCTTTACAAATTATTTAGCTATTATTCATGCCATCTAGTATAGTGGAATAAAATAAATGAATAATAGGGGTGCCTGGGTGGCTCAGTGGGTTAAGCCTCTGCCTTCGGCTTGGGTCATGATCCCAGGATCCTGGGATCGAGCCCCACATTGGGCTCGCTGCTCAGTAGGGAGCCTGCTTCTCCTTCTCTGTCTGCCTACTTCTGCCTACTTGTGATTTCTTTCACTCTCAAATAAATAAATAAATAAATAATCTTTTAAAAAATGAATAATAAATAAATAACTCCAAAGATTTAGTAAGGAATTAAAAGTAAATGTGTCATTTTATGGCCTTTCAGAGGTCCAGATGGTCCAGGCTAAAATTTATATTGAAGAGTTACATGAAAACAATATACTAATATAATAAATATTATTCCATCCTTTTTTCCTGGTAAGATATGCTAGTTATTGAGGAAGAAAACAATTTTATGCACAGTTATTAATATAGAAAGACTAGTTACATTGGAAGAAAGTGAGAAAGTATGTGGATATGAGATCAGGTCTATCTTTTGCCTCTTATCCATCAGGCACAGCATAAGGAATATAGTCAATAATATCTTAATAACATATGGTGACATACTCTTATCATGGTGAGCCCTGAGGAACGTATGGACTTGTTGAATCACTATGTTGTACATCTGAAGCTAATATAACATTGTCAACCATACTTCAATAATAGATAAAAAAGTAAATAAGTTACCCATTTTTCACTTAATTTCACTTAATTTGTATATGGCTGGTTACCTATCCAACATATGTTCTCCCTTTCTTTCTCGGTTATAGAACTCTGTTCAGAGTTCAAAAATACTGAACTTCCCAAGTTTCCTTATAGTTAAGAATGGTCAGTGATATGTGAGTTAAAGTTACTTGGTATTGGCTCTAAGAATGCATACAAAGGATATAGATTCAACCGTCTTATTTCTTTTTCTCCTTTCCCCCTTCGTTTTTTTTTTTTTTTTTTTTTCCCCTGCTTGGAATATGGATCCAGTGCCTGGAGGTGAAGCAACAACCTCACAACCACTGAATACAGAAACTGAACGTTAAGGATGGAGAAGTTGGAAGTGAAAAGGAGATTGAGTTCTTAACTTTTTTTTTTTTTTAAGTAGCTAGAGCTGCTATTATCTATTTATGGACTTCATGTTATACAAGAAAAAAACTTCTATTTGCTGAAGCCACTGAGGTCAACCTTCTTTTATACGCAGCTGAACACGACACAAACTGAGGGTCTACATCTTTGACCCTTTTTGATCTTTGGTCTGTGATTACAGCAGAAATAGCCCTCTTCCCACAGAATTTATGTTAATTTAGATCTTTTTTCCATGTTCCATGGGACCAACAAGGAGATAGAACCATTTTAGCAATTTGAACAAAGAAAATGTAATGTAAAGATTGTTAACCAATAAAAGGTATCCACTAAGAAGAATAGAGTGATTTCTAAGAGGTGCAGAAGTAGCAACTGTCGGAAGAGCTACTACCCTTGGCTAAGGATGAGTGAACAGAAAGGAAGAACTTAGAAATTTAAAGAAGAGGGCATGGCTGTCACAGGAATGTATAGTCCCCCTGTTGTGAAGGCACCAGCCACAAGTGAACCAGGAAGACTGCTGAGGTCCACAAAACAAGGCCCCTCTTGGGAACCAATCCACGGGCTCCACATAGGAAGAAAAAAAAGTCATTTCCTCCAGCTCTGGCCTCACAGGGTCTTTCCATCACCCTCTTCTGGCAAAGCCCAACATTTTGCCAGTTGTCAAAGCAGAAATGCTTGCAGAGTCTAGCTCTAGAAATAACAAAGCAAAAGGATGGATTTATAGCTGAGAAGTCATAAGTTAATAAATGGCACAGACGGTAAGATTCTCAAGGGCAAGGGTTAGGTCTAATTCACATTTAGATCTTCTACAGCACCTAACAGAGTGTTAAACATAGTAGTCACTCAATACATTTTTGCTCAATAACATATAAGGGGCTCAGTATATACAAAATAATTTGCAATAATTTTTTTGTTCTCTTCTCTTGACTAAGATATAATCTCTTTGGCTCTTCGGACAAATTAGAATGACCTCTAGAATGCCTTTTTCTTTCGAGTATTGCAAAATTCAAACTAAGAGAAAATGAGGAACATTTTTTGGTTTGTGACATGAGTTTGTTCAAACACATTTGTGTGCTTAAGAAGGATCCTGGGTTTATACCCTCATGTGCTTAACGAATTCATTGAAAAACCAAAAAATTAGGGCCCTCTTTTGATCCATTCTCTGAGACAACATAATTTTGCAGGAATGGTTCATCAACTGGAGCAGCCCCAAGTTGGAGCTGTGAGGGAGGCAATGTCTGTAGTTCTCCTTTCACTTCTTTTTTCAAGGCCTTTGGTCCATCCTGAGCCACTTGCTCTTTCTGTAGGTACCTAGTATCTTTTTTTTTTTTTTTTAAAGATTTTATTTATTTACTTGACCGAGATCACAAGTAGGCAGAGAGGCAGGCAGAGAGAGAGAGGAGGAAACAGACTTCCCGCTGAGCAGAGAGCCTGATGCGGGGCTCGATCCCAGGACCCTGGAATCATGACCCAAGCCAAAGGCAGAGGCTTTAACCCACTGAGCCACCCAGGCACCCCAGGTACCTGGTAACTTCATGGTGACTACTGACCCTGCAAGTTTCCCCATGGTGCACCTACTGAAGCCATCTCTCTCCCAGCAGAGTCCAGCTTCTGAACTGTTACCTATGTTAGATATTCATCTCTTAGTGTTGCTTCAGCAGCACATCTCTATAACGGCACTATAATGACAGAGAAGATTAACATGGTCCCTGTGCAAGGACTACACACAAACTCAGACATTCAGTAGTTTTATACTATGCTACCATTTACTTCAGAAGGTGGGTGGGGGTGGTGGATGTTAACGCATCAAGAAATGGAAGGAGGGGTGCCTGGGTGGCTCAGTTGGTTAAGAGTCTGCCTGCAGCTCAGGTCATGATCCCAGGGTCTTGGGATCCCACATCGGGCTCCTTTCTCAGCGGGGAACCTGCTTCTCCCACTGTCTGCCCCTCCCCCTGCTTGAGCTCTCTCTCTCTCTCTCAAGTAAATAAATAAATAAATAAAATCTTAAAAAAAAAAAAAAGAAATGGTGGGGCTCTGAGTGTCTCAGTGGGTTAAGCCTCTGCTTTCAGCTCAGGTCATGATCTCAGGGTCCTGGAATCGAGCCCTGTGTCGGGCTTTCTGCTCAGCAGTGGAGCCTGCTTCCACTCTCTCTCTCTCTGCCTGCCTCTCTGCCTACTTTTGATCTCTGTCAAATAAATAAATAAAATCTTTAAAAAAAAGAAATGGAAGGAATTACAAATGTATTTCCTGTATTTAAAAACTAGAGGGTTCATAGATGGTTACCCATGGGAAAAGAAACAGGTTGGAAGGAATAAAAATAGAAGCTAGACTTCTTTGAATATACTTCAAAAGATGCAAACCATTTATGAAAGCAATTTTTAAAAATTTTTTTTAAAAATCCCTAAAAAGGGAAAGTAAATGAAACAAATGAATTTAACTGCATCTAGCTGGTATCATAACTACACTGGGTAGATTCAGAGAATTTCTACAGGTGGATAAAAAGATAGCTCCTTCATCACCCTGCTTCATGTGCACTGGTCTCTTTGCTACTCCTCCAACATGCCAACCATATGCCACCTTGCAGAGATGCACATTTGTTCCTTCAGCTTGGACCACCTTTCTGCTGGGTAGTCACTTGGTTTACAACTCCACTTTGTTCAAGTCTTTGCTCAAGTCTCTTCTTAAGAGAGGCCTTCCTGAATCCCTTACATATCTTTTTATATCTCCCTAACACTTATATCTACCTGCCATTATTTGTTTGGTAAATAATTAGATTCTCTCATTAGACTGTAAGTTCATGGTGGCAAGGACTTTGTTTTGTTCATTGCTGCACACACAGAGTCTAGAATATGCTTGGCCCATTAATAGACGCTCAGTAAATTTTGAGCAGAGTGATTGGAGAAGGGAGAGACTATTAACTTTTTATTCACATACCACTGTATTATTTGATAGGTTACCATTAGTGTGAATTACTTTAATATTTTAAAACCAGTACATTAGGAAAGTTTTAATAATTCACAATCATTGATAAAATTTATACATTATCCCCTCTGTGGTACTTGAATTAATTAAACTGAAGGGAAGCATTACTATTAATATTTTTAAAAGATTTTATTTATTCATTTGTTAGAGAGAGAGATCACACCAGCAGGGGAAGCAGCAGGCAGAGGCAGAAGCAGGCTCCTTGCTGAGCAAGGAGCCCGATGTGGTACTGGATCCCAGTACCTTGGGATCATGACCTGAACCAAAGGCGGATGCTCAACCAATGGAGCCACCCAGGTGTCCCAACATAATTACTATTTTTAAAAGATTTTATTTTTAAGTTCTCCACACTTAACATGGAACTCAAACCTACAATCCCAAGATCAAGAGTTGTATGCTCTACTGACTGAGCCAGCCAGGTGCCCCAAGGAAGCATTATTAAATGCTGAATTTCAGTTCTCAGTGATGGGCTTGGATGTAGCCTTACACAATGCTTTTAAAAATTATACTTGAACTTTAATCTGTCTGCGGAAAGCTATCCATGTTTTATTTTTTATTTTTAAAAAGGATTTACTTATATATTTTAGAGAGAAAGTGCAAGTGTGAGTGGGGGGAGGAGTAGAAGGAGAGAATCTTAAGCAGACTTTCCGCTGAGCCCGGGGCTCAATATCCCAACCCATGAGATCATGACCAGAGCCGAAATCACCAGTTGGGCACTTAACCGACTGAGGCGCCCAGATTCCCCAAGCTATCCTTGCTTTAAAGCACTGTGTGTGTGTGCATGTATGTATACCTTATTTATTATATCTTGGATGGAGTTTATTGTATGTGATTGTAAGGCATTATGTCACTTTCAGGTATTTTTAAAGACAATCAATTATAATTATATGTCCTTCAAGAAGTTAAATCTATCTATACTCAACAGACCTGGATATTCAGCTTATGGGTAAGAGATAAGAAATTTCACAACACAAACAAAATGGGAGGACTCTTGCTTATCAAACTCTTCTGCTATTCTAGTCCTAGTGAGGTCTTTAAGGGCCATATTCCCAGCCTTAGTGCCATGTAATATATACAGTGTCTTACACGGTAGAAGTGCACCATGCTAAGTAATACTTTATTTTCTTTTTACTTTTGGATTATCATGACTCTGTGGAGCCTGGTAAGACCCACTTCAGAGTTCTGTCCTCCAAAACAGAAAATAATTAGTTTGTGTTAGAGGTAGTTTGTTATAGCAACCATAGGAAACTAATATAGTCAGATTCTTGTATGAATCCAGGCACAGGTTATCAATTCTGGAGAGACAAATCAAAGATGGGGTGGGGACTTAATTTTGGAATTCAGGCAGCTGAACTGCCTGGGATTGTATGGGAAGGGTCATTCATTATAGATCTTAGTTTAGAACAAGGCCAGGGAGATGAGCATAAGGGGTGTGCTCTGACAGATGATGGCATGATCTCTGAGAGCATAGAAGGTATACCAGCTAGCTGACTAGGGCATAGGACCAGGCCCACCCCGAGCACCCAAAATTTGGGAGGATAAGAAAAGAGCCAGGTACCCAAGAAATGGACAGAAGTGTATCAGATGGAAGACTGGTATCTCTAGGCAGGCAGATACAGGAAGTTGGGACATAATGTTGCTGAGATGCTGTTGAGCATAAAGTAACAGAACACTTTTGAAACCACACTGACTTTTAGAAGAGCCAGGAATTTCTCTCCAGGTTGGCTTCCACGTTGCTCTTAGGGTATATAAAACTCTGTAGGAAGAGGGCAGCTAGAAGAGTCATCAATGATAGGGTGTTGGCCAGAACGGGAAAAGAGGGAGGGCCAGGAAATGTGAGGAGGCAGTGTCAGTCCAACTGTAAGTTAGTTTCACTGATAGCTTACTAGAGGATAAAAGTCACAAACTTCTGTATTTACACCTCTTGACCATTCAGGGGTCTTGTCCAGGGACTTAATGAGCAGCAAGTCTCCATGTAGTCCTCTCTTTCCTTCCCCCACTGTCTTGCTAGTATGAGTCTACTCTTATCTAGTCTACTTGTCTTCATCTCTTCTTCAGATTCATGTGTCAGTCATTCAACAAACATTTTATTCATTCATTAAACACAATTGTGAGACTGTTTTCCAAAGATATTTCTTTGGTGAAAACCCTAGAATAAAATTCTTAATAAATTAAAAACCTTTCTCCCCCCCCCCCCCCAGTCTTCTTGCCAGTCGGCTACTAAAACCCTTTGGTCTGGCCCAAATTGTCTACTTCCCAACCTTCAAAAACTGTCACATAAAATCCTCTTTGTACCTCTGGTTGCTTTGCTCTGGCAAAGCTCACAGAGACCTCTGAAGTCTTCAATTACATCCTACGTATATCAGCAAAATATATGCTATCCAAATACAGCTGGAGCTTAAAAACAAAGTAAATCAGGGTGAGAGGTTGTGGGGTAGGTGGAAGGTTAAGATTAAGACCAAGCCTTCTTAACTGTCTCTGTATGCTATTGCTACTGCCAGATTATTCAGTCAAAACAGCATTACCCTTGAGATATGCTAATTCCTTCCCACGATGCAATTCTGCTTCAGCGTTCTTTTATTTAATTTGGACCTTTAGCTTGCCAGAATATCAACCCTTGGCCTACTCATTCCATGCTTCAACATCCAATCAACTTTCTCTTAAAGACAAACAGAAAAATACCACACTACAACTACCTTTTAAAAGTTTTATAAGTAATATATGAACATAGGCTTATAAATAATGTAAATAATATCAAATTATATAGAGCTCTTGTATATTGTCCTCCCCCAATTATTTTCTTTCCCAGAAGGAATCATTACTAACAATATAGTATAGGGGTGCCTGGCTGGCTCAGCTGGTAGAACATGTGATTCTTGATCTGAGGGTCATGAGTTTGAGCCCCACATTGGGTGTGGAGCCTACTTCAAAAAAAAAAAAAAAAAAAGGGAGTATACTGTATGTCTTGCCAGATCTTTCACTACGTTTTTACATGGAAGTGTATGAATATAGTTATGTAGTTTAAAATCTTCTTTAATAAAAACTTGTATCTTCTTTTTTAACAAATAGTGCTAGGAAAATTGAATAACTACATGCAAAATAGTTGGACTCTTAACCTTATATCATATATAAAAATTAATTCAAAGTGGTTTGAAGACCTAAATGTAAGATCTAAAACTATAAAACGTTTAGGAGAAAACATAAGGGAAAATCTTTATGACACTGGATTTGGCAACAATTTCTTGGATATGACACCAAAAGCACAGGCAATAAAAGAAAAAATAGATAAATTGGACTTCATCAAAATTAAAAATTTTATGCATCAAAGGACAATGTCAAGAGAGTGAAAAGATACCCCACAGAATGGAAGAAAATATTTACAAATCACACATTTGATAAGGAATTAATATCCAGAATATGTAAAGAACTCTTACAACTACACAATGAAAAACCCAAACAACCCAATTAAAAAATGGACAAAGAAATTGACATTTCTCCAAACAAGATATACAAATGGTCAATAAGCACCTGAAAAGATACGCAACATCACCAATCATGAGGGAAATGCAAACAAATGAGATACTATTTTATACCCATAAGAATAGCTATTATTTTAAAAAGGGAAAATAACAACTGTTGGTGAAGATGTAGAAAAACCAGACTCCTTGTGCATTGTTGGTAGGAAAGTGACCTGGTGTAGCTACTATTGAAGACAGTTGTAATGGATTCTCAAAAAGTTAAACATAGAATTACCGTATGATCAGCAATTCCACTTCTAGGTATATGCTCAAAAGAATTGAAAGAAGGTACTTAGGCAGACACTTGTACACTAGTGTTCACAGCAGACACTTGTACAGACACAGGCAGAGAGTTGTACATTAGTGTTCACAATAGCATTACTCACCATAGCCAAAGGAGGAGACAACACAAATGTCCAGCAATAAATGAATGGTTAAGCAAAATGCAGTATATACACACAATGGAATATTTTTCAGCCTTAAGACCGAATGGAATTCTGATACGTGCTATAACATGGATGAATCTTGGTAACATGCTAAGTGAAATAATGCAAAAGGATAAATATTATATGATTCTACTTATATGCTTATTTTTTTAAAAACATTTTATCTGTTTATTTGAGAGAGAGCAAGAGTGAGAGAGATCACAGAGGGAAAGGGAGAAGCAGACTCTAGACTGAGGGAGAGACTGACTCAGGGCTCAATCCCAGGACCCTGGATCATGACCTGTACTGAAGGCAGATGCTTAGCCAACTGAGCCACCCAGGCAACCATATGCTGTATTTAGTATAGGCAAATTTATAGAAACAGAAAATAGAATAGAGACTACCAGGAGCTGAGGGGAGGGGAAATGGGGAATTATCATTTAATGGGTACAGAGTTTCTGTTTGGGATGCTGAAAAAGTTCTGGAAATGGAGAGTGATGATGGCTGCACATGTGAATCTACTCACAGCTACTTAAAAATGATTAAAATAGGAGCACAGGTGTGGCTCAGTCAGTTACGTGTCTGCCTTTGGCTCAGGTCCTGATCCTGGGATCCTGGGATAGAGCAGGGAGCCTGCTCCTCCCTCTTCTTCTATCCCCTCCTCCCCGACTCGTGCTCTTTCTCTCTCTCAAATAAATAAATAAAATCCTTATAAAAAGATTAACATGGTAAATTACATATATATTTTTCCATAATAAAAAACAAACAGGTTGTACTTTGATTTTTCAATGAATCTATGTATCAGTAGTATTTTGATTTCAGTAAACACATAGCTACTTCAATCTTAAAAGTAATGTTTAAAGTTTTGTAATAGAAATTTTAAACACATTCTTAAGTAAAGAAAATGGTGTATTGATTCCTACCCATCACCCAGCTTCAACAGTTATCAGCACATGGTCAGTTTCATTTCTTCTGTTCTTCCTCTCAAGCACTTCTTTCCCCATCTGTTCCATGTTACTTTGAAACAAATTTCAGAAGTCATAACATTTAAATTATGAATGTTTAAGTATGAGTTTCTATAAGGACTATTTCCTGAAAAATAGAGGCACGATGCCATTATCATACCTAAAGTATTGAGCAATAATATCTTAATATCACCAAATATGCAGTCAGTGTTCAGATATCCCTGATTGTCTCATAATGTTAACATTTGGTTGGCTTAAATGAAGAATCTATACAAGTTCTATGCATTGTAATTAGTTATACTATGTCTTCTAAGTCTTTTTTAACCTGTGGATTCTCCTTCACTCTTCTTTTAAATTTATTAGTTGAAGAAACTTGGTTGTTTATCACATGGAATTTTCCACATTATGGATTTTGCTAATTTTATCCTCATAGTGTCATTTAACATGTTTCTTGTAAAGTGGTAGATGGATCTAGAGGCTTGGTCAGCTCTTTTTCTTCTTAAAATAGCCTTTACAGGTGGTGTCAGGTACTTCCTATGTGCACCATTTAGGAGATACATAATGTCTGGCTGTCTTTTTTCTTTTTTTCTTTTTAATTAATTAATTAATTTTTAAATTATGTTATGTTAGTCACCCTACATTACATCATTAGTTTTTGATGTAGTGCTCCATGATTCATTGTTCGCATATAACACCCAGTGCTCCATGCAACACATGCCCTCCTTAATACCCATCAGCAGGCTAGCCCATACCCCCCCCCTGCCAGTCCCTCAGTTTGTTTCCCAGACTCCATAGTCTCTCATGGTTCATCTCCTCTTTTGTCCCCCCCCCCTTCATTTTCCCCTTCATTCTCCAATGTCCTCTGTGCTATTCTTTATGTTCCACAAATAAGTGAAACTCTATGATAATTGACTTTCTCTGCTTGGCTTATTTCACTTAGTATAATCTCCTCCAGTCCCATCCAGGTTGATGCAAAAGTTGGGTATTCATCCTTTCTGATGGCTGAGAAATATTCCATTGTATATATAGACCACATCTTCTTTACCCATTCTTGTGTTGAAAGGCAACTCAGCTCTTTCCACAGTTTGGCTATTTGTGGACATTGCTGCTATGAACATTGAGGTGCATATGGCCCTTCTTTTCACTACATCTGTATCTTTGGGGTAAACACCCAGTAGTGCAATTATTAGAACTCATACAGCAATTCAGTAATGTGGCAGGATACAAAATCAATGCACAGAAATCAATTGCTTTCTTATACACTAACAATGAAACTGTAGAAAGAGAAATTAGAGAATCAATTCCATTTACAATAGCACCAAAACCATAAGATAACTTGGAATAAACCTAACCAAAGAGGTAAAGGATTTATACTCTAGGAACTACAAAGCACTCATGAAAGAAATCAAAGAAGACACAAAAAGATGGAAAAACATTCCATGCTCTTGGATTGGAAGAGTAAACATTGGCTTTTTTCTGATATTAAAATTGATCAGTGAGGTCAGCCTAATTTGTCTATTATAAAGTTCCCCATCAGCTTTTTTTTTTTTTTTAAAGATTTTATTTATTTGACAGACAGAGATCACAAGCAGGCAGAGAGGGAGACAGAAACAGAGAGAGAGGAGGAGGAAGCAGGCTCCCCACTGGGCAGAGGGCCTGATGCAGGGCTTGATCCCAGAACCCTGGGATCATGACTGAGCTGAAGGCAGAGGCTTTAACCCACTGAGCCACCCAGGCGCCCCCCCATAAGCTTTTTACTTGATGATTTTAGCAGTCATTGATGATTATTTCTGAGCTCTGTTATTCCTTAGGATTGAAGTACAGTGATAATCTTTTTCTATCATTTCTTACTCATTTAGTAGCTAGAATTATTCTACAAAGAAGAACTTTCCCATATCATCTATTTTTGTTACCTTATATCATGGTTAGGACAGAAAAGACAGAATAAATAGTTGATTCTTTCTCTTTATTTACAGGTTTCAGAATAATGAACTATATATAATTTAAACCATCAGGAAATGAATACCAAGTGATTTATCCTGTAAATTAAGAGTGAGTGATGTGTCTTTAAGGAAATCTGAATGATTTTCTGTCTTTGAAAGAAGTCTGGACTAGGTGATTTCTAAGGTCCCTTTGAACTCTTATAGCCCATAATTTTTCTTCCTCATGTAAAACATTTATACCTTAATTCTCAATTTCAAAAAGAATTAGTTAATATAGTCCAGTGATTTTTTTTTAAGATTTTCTTCATTTATTTAACAGAGAAGGATCACAAATAGGCAGACATTCAGGAAGAGAGAGAGGGGGAAGCAGGCTCCCTGCTGAGCAGAGAGCCCGATGCAGGGCTTGATCCCAGGACCCTGAGATCATGACCTGAACTGAAGGCAGAGGCTTTAAACCACTGAGCCACCCAGGTGCCCCTAGTCCAGTGATCTTTAGAGAGTAGATATTCCTTTAACATGTAGCATAATTTGCCGAATAATTTGCAATAATTTTGTGGATTTGTATCAAAGTACTATATAGTTACCAGATTTTTTTTTTTTTTCAAGAGGGAGAGAGAGAGAGGGGTGAGAGGAGGGACAGAAAGGGGAGAGGGAGAGAGAGAGAATCTTAAGCAAGCTCCATGCTCAGCACCAAGCCTGACTGGGGCTCAATGTCATGACCCTGAGATCATGACCCTGAGACCATGACCTGAGGTGAAATCAAGAGTCAGATGCTTAACTGACTGAACCACCCAGGTGCCCCTACCAGTTATTTTTTGAGAGGACTACTTCACTATCTTCTCAATATTTTAAAAAAGATATTATTTATTTATTTGCGAGAGAGAGGAAGAGAGAACATGAGCGGGGGGGTGCAGGGATAAGGGGAGGAGGAGAAGCAGACTCCCCACTGAGCAGGGAACCTGATGCGGGGCTTGATCCCAGAACCATGGGATCATGACCTGAACCAAAGGCAGATGCTCAACCAACTGAGCCACCAACATGCCCTTCTTCTCAAAATTTTATATAGAAAATTTTAAGCTAAATTTAGAGTGCAGGGAACTACTCTTGACTTTTTGTCCCGATTCACTGATTTTTACCATTTTCTATACTTTTTAATATTCTCTTTCTTATTCTGTCTGTAGATACTCACACATACACACGCAGAGCGTTATGTGCAGAGTTATCTATATTCATGGACATCTATCATCTGTACACACATACACACAGACGTATTACACATTTTTTCTAAACCATTTGAGAGTAGGTTACATGTTACATGCATCATGCCCCTTAATTTTTCTATGTGTATTTCTTAAGAGCAAGATGATCGATGCTCTGTATACAAATACTGAATCATTATACTATACACCTGAAGCTAATAGAATGTTATATGTCAATTATACAACCATGAAAATAGATTCTTTTATATAACTAGAGTTTATTTACCAATTTCAGGAAATTTAACTCTGATAAAATGTTTCTATTCAATCTACAGTCTCAAACCAATTTCATCAGTTGTCCTAGTAAGATCTTTATAGAATTTTCTCCAATATAGGATCCAGTCCAAAATCGCACATTGAATTTAGTTGTTGTGTCTCATAGCCTGTTATAATCTAGAACATTTCCTTAGCCCTTTTTTGTCTGTTGCAACATTGACAGTTTTGAGAAATACAGGTCAACCTCACCCTTTTTCACTGCCATAATCATACACATTGTTCGGTTCTCAACCGTAAGTCACAAATTACTGATTTAAGCAAGAGATGAATTTAATCAAAAAGGTATTGGGGAGCTCCTAGAATTTCAAATAATCTCAATAAAAATATTTTACTTTGCATATGTAAATCAAACAATATTGTTTATAAGAAAAAAATGATAAATGATACTTCATTAAGGACTTAATAATGTGCCAGACACTGTCCTTATCACATTACATGTATTGTCTTATCTAAAACACAGCTTTATTAGGGAAGTACTCTCTCAAATACTCTTAATTCCCATTTTAATAATGAGACAATTGTGGATTATAAATGTTAAGTGCGCTGCCCATGATATACAATTTATTAGGGGCAAAGAGTTCAAAGTGAAGTTTCATCTGACACTAAAGTCCACCCTTTTTCTGTTCCACACTTTCAAATGGCAGCATAACTTGAAAACTTTTCTATAAGATATTTGCTCAAAAATAAGCGATTTGTGATAATCTGAATCATTAAGTATTGCTTCAGTTGAAATATGTAATAAGAGACGAATGCTGAAAAACATACCTACTATAGTAGCTTTCTTCACCTTTAAAAATATTTCACAGTCACAACCTAATGCGTAAGGAGCTGACCAGAAAATCCTCAGAGTGCACATCAAAGTGTACCCACTTGGGGGCACCCACAATGCAGCGTTTCTGCCTGTTTTCCTGCCCAGAAGCTTCAAGCCCTGCAGAGCTTGGAGTTGAGCCAGCTGATGAATTTCATCTGCTCTCCAGGACTCAGCCATCCAGATCTGATGTCTCAAGAAATAGCCTTCTTTATCTCCAAGTCTGGAGATATCTTACTTACCATGTTGCCTGCAAAATAAACGATTATGTGCTATTGAAAACATTAATAATTAGGGTACTTGCTATAGGCCAAATGTACCAGATAGGTTAATAAGATTTAATAACCAAGAACTAAAAATAATTTGCTGACTAAAAATGATATATTTGGGGCACATGGGTGGCTCAGCGGGTTAAGCCTCTGTCTTGGGCTCAGGTCATGATCTCAGGGTCCTGGAATTGAGCCCTGCATTGGGCTCTCTGCTCGGCAGGGAGCCTGCTTCCCCCCTAACCCAGCCCTACCCCACCCCCCTCAGTCTGCCTCTCTGGCTACTTGTGATCTCTGTCAAATAAATAAAATCTTTAAAAAAATTTTTGTCTAAAAGAGTTTTTTAACCCACTGAGACACCCAGGCGCCCCATCTAAAAAAGTTTTTTTTTAAAAAACATTTGTTTTTATAATTTTTAAAAAAATATTTGTCTAAAAATATTTGTCTAAAAAAGTTTTTGGATTATTGCTATGCCAAAATTAGGAACATAATAATTAACGAGGAGGGGTAAAAAAATGTGCCACAAAAATCAAACTAAGTATTTTAACTTGATCTTGCGTGTGTACTCACCTAGGGTGGGCTCTCTGATATGGGTATGACTGGTGATCTCTAGAGCAAGGGAGGCCTCTGCCAGTATTGCTGCTGATGTAATCTCTAGGTCAGTCATGTGGCCTGTAGCTGCATCACGTAGTAGAGATGTCCCTGAAATAGACACCAGAGATGTCACTGACCCAGATGCAGTTGCTGTGATTCGGCCTGGAAGTGGTTATTACTCTAGAACATAAGGAAAGAAAGTATAGAAAATGAGGTTGTACTGGACATGGCTGTCACAGTGTCTTTTATGCTTATCACCTCTGCCCAAGAGGGAGTGGGTGTGTTCTGTCCCAGATAAGTCTGTTTCCCATATGTATTAGGAAAGAGCCACAGTATAAACTGAGAACAGCTTGTGGGGTGGCCTGGCTCAAAAAGCTCTCTTCGATGAAGGACACCAGACTAATCAGAGGCTTACTCACGGGAACCTCATCTGGGAAACAAAATGTGAGGTGGGTATCAAAAGGAACTGATAAGAAAGGATTATGGGGTATAACGTAGAATAGAGGCCAAGGTCAAATCTGGGTAAAAGGAAGGCGCACTGTGAAGAAAGTGAGGCAATAATGAAGCAGCAGCCTCGAGAAGGAGAAAAGACAGAGAAGAAGGATCCAGGTTTTAGTTCCAGGAGTAGCAAGACATGTGAGGGGAAGCAGGGGAGGGGGAGGCTGAGGTATGTTTGTGATGGAGCACTTGAGAGAAGAGTCCTAGCTCCTGCCCCTGAGGGCCCTTGGGTTTCTGTTCCAGTAGGGTCCCTGTTCACTGATTCCTCTGTGATCTTGGACCCATTCTGACTCTTATGGTAAACAGCCATTACTTATGGAAGCTTGAGGGAATATTTGTACCCCTGCAACCAAACTGACCAGAATAGGAATAATATGAGAATAATAGTGCTGCTTTGAGTCTTAAAAAATTGTGGTAAAATATACATAACATAAGATTTACTGCTTTAACCATTTTTGAGTGTAGAGTAAGGAGAATTAAGACCATTTGCATTGTTGTGCAACTATCACCACTATCCATCTCGAGAACTTTATCATCTTCCTAAATTCTATACCCATTTTGTTTTTTTTAAAACTAAGCTCTATGGCCAATGTGGGGCTTGAGCTCACAACCCTAAGATCAAGAGTCCCATGTTCTATTGACTGAACCAGCCAGGCACCCCGTATCCATTAAAAAAATAACTGCCCACCATCCCATCTTTGCAGCCCTTGGCGGCCACTATTCTACCATCTGTCTGCATGAATGTGTGTAGAGTTCTTTTTTTTTGAATGAATGAATAGTATTAGTATTAAATGATTAGAATATTATTTATATAGCAAATCTGTAAGTGACAAAATGACTGTCCAGAGTTTTGGGAGAGCTAGAGGTACCCCAAAGAGCCTGAAAAGTGTTAACTATTTATAGTGTGTAGTCAGTCAACAACCGGAGGAACACAAACCAGATGGGAAGCCAAACTCGAGTGGGCGGTTCCCAAGGGGGTCTGAGATGTTGAGCTGAGGTCTTTTACCATATTCTAGCAAAGGGGTTGCTATGTTTAGAGGAATACTTCCTTCATGTATGAAGGAAAATGACCCTGTCTGTGGGGAGAAAGACGAAGATCTGGAAAGAAAGGAAGCCAAGGAAATTGTCGGTTCAGTTCTCTCATGTGTATATGGCTAAAATAGAATTATTGTAGCACTATGACCCCTGAAACTTAACACTTTGGAAACATCCTTCTAAGAGGCTTCAAGGCATCATAGAATATATAACTTGCCAGTGGTCATTCATCCTGGACCCTTAACAGTGGGTCTATGAGGAGATGAGAGTAAGCTTGAACTTTTAAGGGTATGGGGGACTGGCCTGACCAGTTTCCAAGGAAGCTGGACTGGAAGTCCAAATCACAAAACCTAAGTTAAGGCATTAGATAAGGTGAGCCGGGATCCTACAGTAAGAGTCTCTGAGCAGTAGCTATACTGGTGAAACTCAATGGGTGAAACCATTTCGGTTCAGGTGAAGACAGGATCCCAGAGAACATGTGGGGATCAGGGACATGGTCCAGACCCTGCAAAAAAAAAAAAATAGATTGACCAAGACCGGGTGGATTCATAGAGTCCAGGCCAAACAAATGCTTTCGAGGGAGATCTGGATCACTGAATAAACCAGAACTGGTGTCCAAAGCCCATTTCTACCAACTGAATTTCTATGACAGGGATTTATGTGGAGGCTGAGTTTGTCCCTTTTAGGCAAGATTGATGAGTGGAAAGAGAGGCAGCACCTAAACATAGCCATGTTAGGCTCTCTTTAGCATTCCAGTGATATGGAACTAAGCCAGAAGGCTGATCATACTAACTTCCCAACTCTGGGCTTGAGCATGCAAGAACAGGGAATGTTACAGTGTTTTGCTGGAGAGTCTGGAAAAGTTCCATGGCTTTTTGTCCAAACCCCTCTTTCAGATCATTCCAAATAAGGCTAAGTGGGCATTATTCTGAGAAAATGCAACACCCTGTTTCAGAGACTGAACGTGGGACTATGTTTGTTTGTAGGTATGTATGTTTGCTCAGGGAACTCACCCTGAAAGCTGACCTGGAAGATAGTGTTGTGGCACTTATGCTGGATTCCATGTTACTTTACATACTTGGAGTATCCCTGTTACATGCCATTCAGATCCTCTTTTTTTTTTTTTTTTAAAGATTTTATTTATTTCTGATGCAGGGCTCAATCCCAGGACCCTGAGATCATGACCTGAGCCAAAGGCAGAGGCTTAACCCACTGAGCCACCCAGGTGCCCCGCCCAGATCCTCTTTTAATGGAACTTATTAGCCCAGCTGTTAGGAGTGTTCTCAGCAGACAGCCTTCGGTTGTCATCCCCTTCAGCAATAACCTTACAAGGACAATGGCCTTGCCCAAGGTTATACCCTTTCCAGGGCAGCCCATGTCCAGTGATTGATTAGTGAGGAATATAATGACATTGACATCTCAGCTCAACTTGAGACAACTTTGAAGGACCATTCTAGCTCCAACGCTTCCACAGAGTCAGCTGAGGCAGCTTGATTCCTGTCTAATTTTGCTTCTATCTCCAGTGGTCTGAATGTTTGTGTCTCCCCCAAATTCATATGTTGAAATCCTAACCCCCAAAGATGATGGTGTCCATAGGGGGTATTCAGGAAGTGACTAGGTGATGAGGGTAAAGGCATCCACAGATATTCATCTGAAGGGTATTTCTTTATAAACAACCTTGCCATGGGCCTGCTCATTCTTAGTTCTTGTTCTTATGTCTCCTGGATGACTTATGCCCCAGTCGTCACGCCAGGGCCTAACTGGTCCTATTCTAACTTTCTTCTCAATGTGGGTGCTACTGCCATTTTGATTTGCATTCATTTGAGGAAATGTAGCAACACTGGCTAAATGCTAGTAGCATTCTTTTTTTTTTCTTTTAAAGATTTTATTTATTTATTTGACAGAGAGAGCGATCACAAGTAGGAAGAGAGACAGGCAGAGAGAGGGGGAAGCAGGCTCCTTGCTGAGCAGAGAGCCTGATGCAGGGCTTGATCCCAGGACCCTGAGATCATGACCTGAGCCAAAGGCAGAGGCTTAACCCACTGAGCCCCCAGATGTCCCAATGCTAGTAGCATTCTTGAGCTATGTACAGCCAGAAATGTTTCCAAATATTTCCAAACACCTTCTAGCTTGTTGAGACACCTGAACTAAGAACCACCAAGTCAGAAAACCACCCACGGCACAGGGGTTTTGTGCTGAATCCAGCCTGGAACCTTGCTCTTTGAGGGCAAAGCATACCTCACCATGTCCCTGGACTTGGTAGGCCCTGTTGTGCTCCTCTGCTATAATGGCTGAATGGCCAGTCCTTCACCAGGTCCATCTGTTGGAGCCAGGTGAGACTGAGGCAAGGAAGATGAGGCCGAAGGCTAGTAATAAGTCCACACAACATTATTGTAATACATATAACCACTCTTAATACGAATAGTGACCACTTAATGACAGCTTACCTTGGGCTTTCATACATTAGCCCATTTAATTTTCATAACCACCCCATGAGTTAGGAACTATCATTTCTCCATTTGATGGGCAGGGAAACTGAAGTACAACATGATGGAGTAACTGGCCCAGGTCCTGCAGCTGGTAGGGGGCAGAACTGAGATGCCGCCCCAGGAAGCTGAGTGCCCTCAACCTATCACCTCCCTTTGTTTCTTTTCAGTGTTAAGTTGCACTTCAACAAAGTCAGGAGTAGTGTAAAGGGCCATCGTCGTCATCTTACAATAGACTAATGGCTAAAAAATTGAAGGGAGACCAAATATTTGTCTCATTTTCCACACAGTATATTAAGATTTCATCGATGATGCCAAATTGTCATCAGTTCAGAGCTTCTCAACAGTGAATCTGGTGTGTGTGAGATCCTGATCCCTTGCCCTGAGAGTGGCCAGGTGGTCAGCAGCCTCTCCCATTCGCCCTGCCAGGATGTGCAAATATGATCGTGTCCGTGTGCACCTTCATGTGAAACAGGGAGTGAAAGTATAGACAATTGGTAGATATTTCAAGTTTTTCTACTCTTCCCTTCTTACTCAAATACTTACAGTATTACAGTTATGCTGGGTCAGTTTGAAGCTTAAAGGGGCTTTTTTTTTTTTTTTTAAATCTCAATTTAGACTGAAGCTTACATTTTTGGATATCAGATCTCTTCCCCTTTGGGAAGAAGGAGAGGTTTCCATATTTGAGAGAGACAGAGGTGTGAGGTACCAGTAGATGAGAATTTTGAGACACTCCATTAGAAGATGTCAAGGTCAACAAGATTGAAAGAGCACTCTGAAATCTGAAATCCAGAGCAAACTAAAATATGGCACCGTGAGGGAGGGTCATCTCGAAAGTGACTCACAGAGCAGATAGAGCTTTACCTAAAACCACAGATTACATAAACTTTATCTTATCTAGGTGCTTAAAATAAAGTGAGGGACCAATCAAAGAATTATTTAAGCAGATATATCTAGAACATTCTTTCGATTAAGACTTAACTCTGATTGCGAAGTTCTGAAGTACTTCTCCTCAAAGCTTGTGTGAGGTATTCTGAGTGGTTAGAAACTTCTTAAACCTTGCTGCACATTAGAACCACCTGGGGGAGATTTAAAAACTCTTGAGACCCAGGCTGCACCCCATCCCAATTAAATCAGAATCTCTGGGCCTAAGACATAGGCATTGGTATTAAAAAAAAAAAAATCTCAAGTAATTCAAACACTTGAGAACACGGTTTAGAGCAGCAGTTCTCAGACTTGAGTTGTGCGTTAGAATCCCCTGGGGGGGCTTGTTAAATCCCAGATACCTGGGTTCCACCCCCAGAGTTTCTGATTCAACAAGTCTGGGGTAGAGCCCGAGAACTTGAATTTCCAGGAGTCGGCCAAATGGTGCCAATGCTGCTGGTCCAGGGAACCGCACTTGGAGAGCTACTAATTTGGAAAATTAATTTACATATTCATTAACACCATCGGAAGACCTGTAAGTCATAAATTTTTTTGCTGGGCAGCTTAAGTAGATGCAACATCCTTGGAAAGGAATCTAACCACAGTTGTGAGCTCACTGCACACACTGGTTTTTTGGCAGGTTACATTCGTGCCCATCTGTTAGGCTGGCAGCATGCCCATGAAGAATGTGCTATGCCAGCTTCAGCAGGGCATAGGTGCGAACCAAACATGGTTGTAGGGGGGGCAGCTTTTACCCCACAGCAAGTGCCATTTCTTGGGCCAGGCAATCCTGCTGTTTGCAAACAGCTCCAGCCTGAGGCCACATGCTTCCTTACATCTGTAGATGCTTGAGGGCATGATTAAAAAATAAATAATCAACAAATGGTTGCTTATGTTTCTCCCTTAATCTGCCTTAGCGTTGTACTCTGGCACGTAGTCAGGCACTCTCTCTTTGGTGAACTGGAAGCCTTTCCTAAGTATGCAGGGCTTTACAACCGGAAGGTGTGGATCAGCTGCCTTTGTTTGTAGATGTCATGATCTTTTTTTGCGGTCTTTACATTAACTTATTTAGATTTCTCTTTATTTAAATTTTTAAATTTATTTCTTTTTAGGTTTTTTCCCCCTTTATTTTTCTTTAAGTTTTCACTATTTCTGAGCTTGGTTCCTCCCTCCCTTCCCCTTTAATCTCCAGTTTTCCGAGGAATCTGATTTGATTTTTGAAATATAGAAGAGTCCTCATAAAGTTAGGTTGGTACTGGGGAAGTTGCTGCTATAGAATTCTAGTTACATTGTAAATCAATTTCAGCGATTCTAAATCTAAGTGTATATATTATTTTATTCGTCCCATCATCAAGCCTGGACTATGAGATCTTTGAATGCTTTTAGATGAAAACATTGGTTTTTAGGTTAAAAATTGAGCTTTTT